TATATATATATATATATATATATATATATATATATATATATATATATATATATACATATATATATATATATATATATATTGCTCTATTTCTCACTTTATATGAATGTATTTATTTATATGTACCCTTTATATATAAAAGAAGAAGCAATGGGATAAGCTAAGCAACCCTAATTGCATTTTTGTAATTATCTTTCATTTTTTATTATTTTTTTCTCTACCAGTTTTCTAATTCTAATGAGTTCAAATTCAAAATAAATTGTGGAGAATCTTTCAAGAATCAAGATCGATCCCTTATTTTCCAACCATATATCTCTAATTATACTTGCAAGTTTCTTTACTTTTAATTTTCTCTCTATTTTTGTTTTATTAACTACTTCATTTCTTTAACCATTAATTTCATTTTATGACAATTAAGTTTATATAATCATTTAAGGACTGTGTTCGTATTATTAGATTTATATGAATATTGTAATATTTTCTTCTCATCATAATTATTTTTTTTCGTATTTAAACATTTTTTCCCACTTTTAAAATACTATCCCGTACACTCCACGAAGAGCAGTACTAGTAATATTTAGGGTAAATTACAACCACCCCATAAGGTATGGTTAAATTACAAAAAAATCCCTCACGTTTGCGTAATTACATCTACCCTCGACTATGAATCTTCTTACGCGTCCACCCTTATGGTGTCAAATTCAACATAATCATCTAGATTTCGGATCCGTGCAATGTTCTCTAGTTTGTATCATTTTGTGCAAAAAATACAGTTTCTAATGCACCACAATCTGATTTATACAAGCCATAAAACACATCTTATGAACATCTTGCTTCAAAATGCGGAGCTCAAATGCGATAAAACGGGTACAAAATTGAGAACATTCCATATAATCTAGAAGATTGCACTAAATTTAACACCGTAAGGGTGGACATGCAAAGAAAATTATAATTGAAGGAGATGGTTGTATTACCCGAACATAAAGGGTTTTTTCATAATTTGACCATACATCGAGGTGGTTGTAATTTACCCCTTATAATATATAATGGGCTCTAGGTATGCACATTATTTTTGATTTGATTTGTATGTATAATTGTATATATAGGTAGATGAACACCACCCTAAAAGAAGAAGGGTAGAGAGAGAGAAGCCAAGGCCACCTGTTGGTTCCTTCCTTCCATAAACCACCACACCAAAAACCACTGCCACTTGTGATCAAATTTTTGTTACACACACAAAAAACCTTCAAAGAAGAATAATTGCATCTTTCTCAATTCTCATCACTCACTTTCTCTCTCTCACACACACACTCTCTCTCTCTCACACACAGTCACCTTTTCTACCATTTCTGGCCCTTTTCACTAAATGGGTTTTTGGTTGTAACCCTTCCTATTAAATTTTTATGCACGCACTCGCGTTTACAGAATCTAACTAGATTATAATACACAGAGATCACCCAAATCTGAACCGGAGAAAAAAGACCCTTTCTTGACTGATCTCTATACTTTTATATAGAGATAAAGATTGGGTTTTTATTTATAAAGATTAGAGCTTTTTTTAATGTACAATTGAGTCTTGATTTTTTTTAATTTTTTTTTTATCTCCTTCGTTGCTGCAAATTTTGTTTTTGGGTTGTTTATTTTATTTTTAATTTTTGTGGGGTTTGTTTGATCCCATGGCTGCGGGTGCAGAGGTATCTGGTGAGGCAGCAGTATTGGGGATTGATTCCCCTGCTGCTGCTGTTCTTGAGCCTTCATCGCCAAAAAACACCACCCCCACCGTTGTAGAGAATTCGGGAGAATTCGATGATTCGAATTCCGATGAGTCTGTGCAAAATGATGAAAAGAATGGTGTTAAGGATTCTGATTTGAATTCCAATGTGGATTCGAAATCAAAATCGAAATCGGAATTGGAAATGAAGGAAATTGTTGATATGCTGAAGAAACTGAAATTGAATCCCATGGCGAAGGAGTTTGTTCCTTCTTCGTACTATCAGGGCCCGATCGGGGGTTTCACTTTTGTACCTATTGATAAGATTTCCGGAATCGATGGTTCCCCGAACAACCGGAAGGTATTCCATTTTCGGTCGATTGATTATTTTCATCTCGCTCGTTTAATTGAATTGAATTGATTAATTGTTCGCGGCCGTGTAATCTGTGGGGCTTGATGTTGTCGTTTGCCTTGATTATCGTCTTGTTGTTTTTTGGATCGATCGTACGATTTTTAATTAGCATTCAATATGTTTCGTGCTTCTTGTCTGGTTTATGAATTACAAGCGATAGAACTTTCGGACGAAAAAAATATAGGGACCCCTTTTCATTGTTTTATCTTAGGCTTTATGTTTTCATCGTCTCGTTTCTGCATTCGATTTGAGAATGATCGAACTAACTTTTTTGTATATTAATGTAAAAATGATGTTTTCTGCCAACCCTTTATTGCCTATTGTATCTTTCTTGGATAAAGTTACTGCCTTTTTCACGATTCTTTTTGCCGCACGTATTAGTTTAAAACGAGTATTTATCTCGGAAAACGAGTTCCCACATTTCCATTGCAAAAGAATGAATTTTTGACGTTTTGTGACGATAGAAATGGATTAAAAGTCTACATTGTCTGGCTTCATTTTGTAGGTTGGATTAGGTATGCTCGATAATTTAGTTATCGACTTTTAAATTGCTTAATTCGTTTTCTAACGGTACTCGAAAATTATGTTTTGTCAGACAAGAAATAACTACAGCCAGGGTCGGAAGAGAATGAGTGGCAGAGCTTTCAAAGCTCAACGAGAAGATAGCATCCGAAGAACTGTCTACGTCTCCGACATTGATCACAATGTAAGCAAAAGATATACAAAATTTCATATTAGAAATCGTTAATTTTTTTTCTCTCAGAATTTAAAATTGATATAATTTTTCTTACGTCTTAATATAAGATCACCGAGGAGCAACTCGCTGCATTATTCAGCGGCTATGGACAGGTTGTCGATTGCCGAGTTTGTGGTGATCCACACTCCCATCTTCGCTTTGCATTTGTAGAGTTTTCTGATGATTGTAAGCCATCTTTTTTTTTTCTTTCGATTATTTCTTGTTAAAAAAAAAAAAAAAGAAAAAGAAAAACTTACCTCGTACGATAAATGTTGACAGATTCTGCTAGAGCAGCTCTTATTCTTAACGGGACACTGTTAGGTTTCTCTCCCGTTAAGGTTTTGCCGTCTAAAACTGCCATTCTCCCTGTGAACCCTACTTTCCTTCCAAGGGTAAGAAGATAATTTCACCATTTCTAATGCTGAACAGTTTTCATCACACACACACACACACACACACACACATATATATATATATATATATATATATATATATATATATATATATATATATATATCCTTCGTTCAGTTGGTCTTTCACATGTATTTTTGTATATAACTCGTTCGTGTTTTTTTTACAGTCGGAGGACGAGCGTGAAATGTGTGCCAGGACAGTCTACTGCACAAACATTGATAAGAAGGTAAACCTACGTACCTTATCTTTCGTGTTGTGATATGCTTACATTTTCTGCTATTTACGACTGCCTCGTAAATGCAACGTAGAAATCGTTTGAGGGGTTTTTTTTGGCTCATAAGATATCTGTTTATTAGACGAGACGCAAACGCAACTTTTTAAAAAAATAAGTTGAAAATTGAATTGGCAGCTATAATTGATTTTTGATTTTCAGGACATTTGCAAAAAGCCCCGACTTTTAGAAAAATAAGCAACTTGAACTTTTTCAAAAGCATTTGCAAACACCACCTACTATAGTCGTGGGCGACTTAGAAGTGAAATTATATTAAGTTCGTTCACGTAATACGTATTTTCGTGTGCAGGTTTCTCAAGCTGATGTCAAGAATTTCTTTGAAACAAGATGTGGTGAGGTACGCATACGAGGTTCCGTAATAAGTTCGACTATTACCAATTGTTTTGCTTAATTAATAACCAGATAATATATGTTAATTTTAATTTGTAGGTTTCCCGTCTGAGGCTCTTAGGGGATCATTTGCACTCCACTCGGATTGCTTTTGTTGAATTCTTCATGGTATTTTTTACTTTCTTTCTGACTATATTTACTGCAATATATAGTTGGGCAAATTACGACCAACCCCCTAAGATAAGGTCAAATTACGAAAAAACCCCTTTCGACTATGTTTTCTTACGAAAAAGTCACCTCCTTTAATAGGTAAATTTGACTTCGTAAGGGTGGACGTGTAAGATGATACATAGTTGAGGGGGATGGTTGTAGTTACCCAAATATGAGGGGTTTTTTCGTAATTTGACCATTCCTCAGGGGGGCTGGCCGTAATTTGCCCTAAATAATAATATGACTGTGTTGATCCGTAATTTTCCCAATTCTTTTGAGTGATTGATTTTCTAGTCGTTCACTTTCATGACGTAAAAAGCCTCGTGATTTAAGTACTAATATTATGTAAAAATATCGTAGCCTTTTTGTTATCTTTATTCATATATGTATTTACTCTAGTACTTATTTAATAGACATGAATTTAAAACATTTTGAGTGTGGATGTAAAATTATTTAGAGTTAGTGGCATTCGACTATGTAGCTTGCTGTATAATTCACGGGCGGTGAAATGACATAAGTGCCCTTTGATATATAAACCTTTTTGAGTGAATTGCAAAAATCCCCGTAATTGACAAATATATTATATTTCACTTTCTCTCTTTTTCTGTTATTTCTTTCGTTATGATATACTTAAAAAACATTTACAGGCTGAGAGTGCAATAATAGCCCTCGACTGTTGTGGTGAAGTTCTGGGATCTCAACGCATCAGGTACAAATAATCCGAGTTATCTGCTTCCAAAAAAAAAAAAAAAAATAAATAAATAAAAATAATCTGAGTTATCACTAATTTTCTTACAGGTCAGCACTTTTTTTTTTTAATTTTTTTTGTTATAACCAATTTCAAAATATTGCAGGGTAAGTCCTTCGAAGACACCCGTGAGGCCGCGAGTCCTTCGTCCGGGAATGCAGTAATATTATAATCTTAAAATATTTATTATCTGAGATGGAAAATAGTCATTTTGTTCTTTTGGGAGAGACTACCTCAAAAAACGAAAGCGGCAGTAAAACTTATTCTCTCTTTCAGTTTTCTTTTTCTTTCTCATGAGAAAGAGAAACCTTTTTTTTTTTTTTTTCTTTTTTTACCTTTTTCTTGCGACTGAATATAATTCTTGATGTTCCGAGTTTTTTAACTCGGATGATCCGAAACTTGGGCATTTTTACTATGGTTAATTATCTAATTCTAACTTTATAACTATTTTGGTACTTGAGAATTTCTTGGGTTTTTGTTTACTTGTGTTGAGAGAGTTAGTGTTGTCGGGCTTCAATATGGCGATTTTCTGCGATTTCAGGGTAATGATAAAGTGCTTGAAATATAACTGTTTTAGGCACACATCTCTCTAAATATAACTCTTATTTTCTAGGAGCCCCTCAATACAAACTTAATTTGAAGTAGACGACAACAACCTCAAATAAAATATCTTAACTAAATCTTTAGTTCAAAATAAAATTTGACTCACATCCTTTTATTTTTGTTTAACCCTTTTTTTCCACTCGGCACACCTCAATCTTTTCTCTCTTCTTCTCAAATGTTTCACATCTCTCTCCTTCTCTCATATTGTGTCGTTAGCCCATCACGTTCTCTCTCTTGCAAATCAATGGGTGCAAATCGAGGATGCCACCGCCACTATGCCGAGATCTGAAGAAATTGAGGATCCATCCAGATCAGTCGCCGAGCGGTAGAGTAGAGTGAAGGAGGCGATGCATAGATCTGAAGATCTCGAGGTTCTTGGATACCTCGGCGACGGTGCGGTGGAGGGGAATGGTGTAGAAGGGGGCAGCGGAAGTGGGTCTATGGCGATGGTTGTGGTGGTCGTGGTTATAGATCAGGTGATGGTTATGGTGGAGGTGGACATTGGAGATGGTGGTGTGAGGTTAGATCGATGGTTGGAGGCGATTGCATCAACCTAGGGTTTTTTTTACGGCGCTAGGGTTTTGGTTGACGGCTAGGGTTGGTGGATAGTAGGTGGCGGCGTCTGTGATTTGTTTGCCCTAGGGTTTGCCGACGGCTGATAATTTTTTTTATGCTAGGGTTTGAAATACTACGCCGTAGTAAACCATAGTATACCGTAGTAAACCATAGTATGCAGTAGTAAACTATAGTACATCGTAAACTATAGTACATCGTAGTATATCATAGTACACCAAATTCTACTATAATATTATTAACAACAGATAAAATTAAAACAAAATATAAAAACATATGTAAATTAAATTAAAAAAAAATAAAAAAAAACAGGTTTTTTTTTTATAATTTTCGATATTATATAGAAAATAGAGGATTTTTATTTTGTTTTATATTAGTGTAAAAAATGCTTAAATGAAGAAAGATAAAAGAAAAAAAAGAAAAAAAGAAAAAAGAAAAACGTGTCTTTTGTAAAAATAAAAATAAAAATATAAGATGGAAAAATGAAAATATTCCAGACTAAAAAGATGATAAATGCAATATGAATTTTAATTAAAACATATTTCAAATTTGTGAGTGGGGGACATTTTTGGAATGAATTTTATAAAGGATGTGTAGCAAAGATTTAGTTAAGCTTGTCATTTAGTTCTAATAAATTATCGGGGTTTGCTATTATCAGTGCGGTTTTTACCACTCGCAGTGCAAAATAATTCATTTTTTTTTCTTTTCCAAATCTTATCCAAACCCCCTCTCAAACACTCTCAACCTTTAATTCTTGAAACTTTTCAAATTCAATAATTTTTCGACCAATATCATTTAGAGCACAAGTATTATCGACATGGATGACAACGTAACTACTTCGATTTTGAGGTGAAAATACACGTTTTTTGTTCATTTCCAACGTTTTTTGACATTTCGTGTTATAACACACGAAATATATACTTCCATTTCGTGTAATACTCTACGAAATGTGTCTTAAAATCGTTTGTTGTTTGTTTCGTAGAAAAACATACGAAATTAAAGCTTACATTTCGTAGTAAAACGTACAAAATGGAAGCTCTTATTTCGTATGTTTTTACACGAAATTGTAGCTTGCATTTCGTGTTATTTCATACGAAATCCCTTAAATATTGTCTTTTAATTTCAAATATTTATGCAAGAACTAAGAGAACAATCTCACGATTATAGTCACTTCTGTGAACGTGGTATTGTGTGTGATAGTAGTAGAGAAGCGTTACTTATGTGGGCAAAAGACACAACAATTAGTCATAATCATCAACTGATTAATCATTGTAAATCAGAAAAATATCATGTTTTAACGTGTGCAAGATATCAATCTGGACGACACGTACTATTGAAGAAACGTTCTTGTCCGTTCAGGTTAATTGGCAAAAAATCAACGGAGGATGGATTATGGCGATTGAGTGTGAGTAATGGTAATCATAACCATCTGCCGTGTATTTGAAAGTTTAACTTATGTTTAAATTTGTATTTGCATTTTAATGTTTAATTTATGTTTTGGAATATTTAAATTTGTAGCGTTTGTGTTTTGCATTTTTATGTTTAACCTATGTTTTTGGAATAATTAAATTTGTAAGGTTGTTTTGGAATGTTTAAATGTGTACTTTAATTGCTTCAGTTGTACGTAGTTTCTAAATTCAAATAAAAAAACTAGTGAATTAAAATACAAAACAACAAACTAGTAAATTAAATAGTTCGTAATAATAATAAACAAAACTAGTAAAATAATTAGTTCCTAATAATAATAAAAACAAATTATTAAATTAAATAGTTCTAACAATAATAAAAAATGCATAGTTCTAATAATAATAAAAATAAACTTTAAAAAATAGTTCATAAAAATACATAACTAGCAAAAAAAATCGATAAACTACCGCCTCGTTCTCCTCGGCGGCTGCACCTCATGATCGTCGTCGTCGTCGTCGTTGCCGTTGTCCTGGTCGATGCCAATATATCGGGCGGCGAGCTGCATAATATCTCCAAGATCGGCACGTAGATCGGCAAACTGCTGCATCCAGTCCTGTCCAGTGCTCATGGTGATCGGGTACAATGCACATACTATCTGGTAATAAGCCGGCTGATCTGGTGGCCTCACATTCTCTCGATGCAGTGGAGCCGGGCCTACGTCGGGGTTGTTGATCTTCAGATGAGTCCGATCGGTATACCACTGCATGTAGTGCTCGTCGACTTCCCCCCGTTGTCGTGCCGTCTTGTATACGTTGGCACGAATGAAATGAGCCTGAACCATGTCCCACATACTACCCGGAAATGGGTAGTTGACTTTGTACGATGTACCTCCTTTGGGACCGCGTGAACAAGGCTCTATCGATGGAATCAAGCCGCGTGGAATATCCTGGACCCACCCGAACTGTCGGACGCAACGATCAGGCATATACGTCTCTATGACCCATATGTACTGGATCGTGCCATGATACAACGTACGAGGGATACTCTCGTGTATATCCCGACCATACGGTAGCCACTCGACCTAAACAGAAAACAATACAAATACATAAATCAAAAAATTCATATTTAAACAAACTGCAAACATAAACCGAAAAATTCATATTTAAACAAACTATAATTACATAAAATCGAAAAATTTCATATTTTAAAAAAATATAAACACATAAATCGAAAAATTCATATTTAAAAAAAATATAAATACATAAATATAAAAAACTTACATCATCCGGTGTCATATTGTCGAGTAAACCTCGAATATGCTCGAGCGTGCCCGCTTTTGGCGGCACGTTCCACCTCTTGCATCGAGGCTGAAACTCGCGGTACCGCTCGCTCTCCTCCGGCGGCTGAAATCTCGGGAAATACTCGTATATCCAGTAGTGCAATATTTTATTTAAAGATATTTAGGGAAATAAACAATAGAGAATATATAAATTTAAAAACATTATGAACAAAATAAGTACAAAAATATATTACAATTTACCTGAAGAAGGGTAGTGCAACCCGCCAAGCTCCTCGACTGTGCTCGACTGCATATACCCAACTCCCCGTATAGATTGGCCAAATAGGCCGAACCTCACGAATACGTGCCGACTGATCAAGCACTGAATCCTCGAGCACGTGCATATCCTACGGCTTCACCCGATCACATGTATTGTTGGGGAATAAAATCGATCCGAGGAGAAACACCAGATATATCTGAAATCGACGTCTCATGGGTGTGTCAGGCATATCAACAAGTGTCCCTGTATCATCCTCCATGTGGGGCCCCCATGCTTCCATGACTCGTCAATCTCTTCAAAATCGAGGTTTTATACCTCGGACAACAAATACACGCAGTTTGTCCGCTCGATGACCTCGTCGTACCTAGGCGCGACCACCCGTCCCTCCACATTGGCACCTAGAATCATCTGGACATCGTGGAGAGTGATGGTCATCTCTCCCACGGCATATGGAAGTTGTTCGTCTCCGGCTGCCACCGCTCCACGAATGCAAACAACAGTGAAGCATCTAGGCGCGGTAAATAACATCGGGCTAGGGGATACAAACCGGTCATCCGCAGAAAATGCTTGTCTAAGGATACATCTATGTCTTCTAGGGCAACTGATATCTTCTCGTAGTTGAAATGGTTTAGGGAGTTGATACGGGACTCCGCTCGTCCAACCGGACGTTTCTGCAATCATTTATTTAGAAAACATATTAATTAATCAACTATAAAAATATTTTAATATAAGATACAAAAATTATAATATTAAAAATAAAACAAGTAATTAACTTACTTCTCCCCTCCAAATATATGCCGCTACGTGTGACTTGAAACTCGGAATCAAAGACGGATCTCGCGGACCACTGGGAAATGGACCATCTAGCACATCCGGATTGACTCGAGTATGAGGTCGACCACCACGACCTCCACGGCACCGTCCTCGGCCTCCACGACCTCCACGAGCTACAACCTTAGTCTCGTGAACGGGGTCCACAACATCCTCCTCTTCTTCCTCCTCCTCCGTAGCACGAGAAGACCCAACATCGGGATGTGCAACCGATGATCTGGTTACACCAGCTCTCTCAGCCTCTCGCCTACGTCGTGTAGACATAGTCATGCGCTCGCGCTCTTGATGCTCAGCCTCTTCACGAACTGCTCGTATAATTGCCTTTGATTTGCCTTTGCCTCCCATCTGTTAAATAAGACACGATTAACGTCAGTCTAAATAGTAATAATAAATAAAAAAAAAAACTGAAATTTTGCAGTTATTTCGTGCAAAAACAAACGAAATTAATGCTTACATTTCGTGTTTGTGTTCACGAAATACAAGCACTAATTTCGTGTGTTTTTC